ATCCACCACAAGTTTTCCTGACTTCCGGTTTCACCGGAAATTACCGAAACTTTTGATTTTCAAATGGCACCCTGTATATTCTTTGTTTTTCGGATTCTACAGATCGTTTTACGTTTAATGTACCACTTTCAAATCCCAGTTTTGTCCAAATTTCGTTTTCAGATTAAATTTTAAGTAGAAAAATTACCTACATAATAAAAGAAAAATGTTGGAACGAAAATTAAGACAAAAGTCGTAGTATATCGTTGGATTCGCTTTAAAATACTGCATTTAGTAATGTTATGAAAGTGATATGTTCCTACCCCAGTTTTTGAGCTAGGGCAAAAATACTAAAATAATGAAGTTTACAGCCCTCTATCAAAAAAATTTACAAAGATAAAATTGAATTTGTATTTTTCTGAAATTAAGTAAAGTATGTAGAGTAATTTTGGGATGATCATGTCAGCACTCTAGTTAAAAAATTAAAATTTAATTTAAAAGCAAAAGTTGGAAAAAACTGGATCCAAAAGGGGTGCATTAGGACGTAAAACGATATGTAGAATCCGAAAAACAACAACAGGGTGTGCCATTTAAAAATCAAAAGCTCTGGTCATTTCCGGTGGAACCGGAAGTCCGGAAAGCTGGTCATAGATGCATAAAAATGGCGTTTGGTTAGAATATCATTCCTATCAAGTTTCGTTGATATCGATAAACAAATAAAAAAATGGGAGCCGGAAAGTAATCTCGTGGGCACCCAGTAGGGGAGAGTGGGGCAACTTCGACATGTTAAGGTTTGCAAGATTTTAAAAACGATTTGTATTTACAGAAACAGACACAAATTTATCTAAACATAGTGATAACATTTCTTTAGTAGGTAATAGGCATTTAAAACCAATATCGTATAAATTCAAACAGAAAAATATTTTTTTTTTTACATCAGTGTCAAATGACGAACTTGCCCTCTCCTAGGGGGCAAATTGGACAGCATTATTCTGATACAAATACCTAAATTTTATTTTCTACCTAAATCACAGCAAAAATTAACTGCTCTTCTTCGTATATATCAGATCGTTTTTTTTTATAATCTCTAACCATCCTAGAGATAAAAATAATAATTCGACAGTGCCGGAATAACGATTGGCGAAATTGCCCCACCCAAGCGGATTCTAGTAAAATATTTAAAAACATCTTACAGGAGCCTTTTTTACCGCCTATTATCAAATATTTCTACAAAAGATGGGTCAAAGTCATTCTGTAAAAATTAACTTGCGAAATAGAACGCTCTAACGAAACGAAAGTATTATTAAAGTAATAGCCAATCCTTAGATCAGAAATTTAAAAAGTTGATAATTGCGTTTTATGCGACAAATTGAGTAGCTACCTTCTCCAGACTTAAGGAGCAACTAACTGATGCGTACGATGCACCCTCAAGCCAGTTTCGGAATTTCCGAATCCAACCGATTCCTAGTAAAGCGCGGTGACAAACTTGCCTCGCATGTCGAAGTTGCCCCACTCTCCCCTATAGGTAGGATTCGAATCAGAGATTTCGAATGGACATCTCTATGATAAAAAATTTAAAACGTACGTATATTTGATGACTATTATTAGGTACCTATAGGTACCTACATCAAATACGTTGTTTTTAATTTTTTTTCATGGAAAACCTAACCTAACCTAAATTCTATATATTCATATTTAAAAGTAACAAGAGGTAAGCCACAAAATGGCGGCGTTTTCAATATGAATATATAAGATTTTAAAGAACCAATCAAAAATAAGACGGCAATGGGCTCTTTCACTAAGATTTTAAAGTATAAAATCCCAAAGGAGGGACTATTTTCGGCATATACAATGTGTCCAAGATAAGGAGGGCCAGTATGGGGATCTGGGAAACGCTAAGAGATACGAGGTCGCTTAAATTAGTAAAAAGTTGCGCATTTTTGTGCTTATTAAAATGATGCTTTGATATTTTAGAAATTTCGATTGTTACCGGAGATATCCAGGAAAAACCGAAATTCGCCCAAAATGATTTTATTTTTTCCTGACCTTATTTGAATAGATATCATATACACTCCTGGACATAAAAAACCGGACAAACAAAATTTTGTGAAATTTCAATCCTTAATAATTTTTCCCATTTTGCATCGAAATTGATCATTTTTTGTCAAATGGTAGGCGCGTTTATCTTGATCATTATTCAATATTGTGTTTGCAAAAAGGTCGAATGGATTTGGTGTTATACAGGGTGGAACCATAAGTTGCATTTGGTCCCAAACTTCTGAACACTCTGTGGAATAACTCAACGACACAATCATGCGTATTTGCAGGACATTCTTAAGCCTTATCATTTCTTAACATGTCTTTTTTCAATTCATATCAATATCTTCAATCTCAAAGGAAGCACAAGTTCTTAGAGTAGCAATGCAATTTATACCAATAACAAAAATTAAAAACATTACAGATAACTTTAACAAATAAACAAACACTAATATTGGGTATTACCTCCATGTGCTCTAATAACTGCTGCCATGCGACGTGGTAATCTCTCAATACAATTGGCAATAGCTCTTTGCGGAATGTTTTCCGACTCTTCGAGACGAGCTCTTCGAAGATCTGGAATGATTTCCGGTTGTCGATTGCGAATTAGCCTCCCTAACATGTCCCACACATGCTCAATGGGGTTCAGATCAGGGCTACGTGGAGGCCAGTCCAATCGTTGAATCCCTGCTTCATCAAGATAATCACTGACAACTCTTGCGACATGAGGCCTGGTATTGTGTGTATATCATTGCCACTTTTTCTCCTCTACAATATGCCACCATCAAATTTAAAATCTGACGTTTCGTCTTTGGGCCACCATCATCAACTTTATTTTTTTGAATACGACCCTGGATTCTTTATTCCAGATTTTAAGAGCCTCTGATGTCTCAAAACCTATGATGTATCGCATTTAGTCAAAAAAATATTTTTTTTTTACTTTTTAGTAATTTCCTATGGAAACTCTCTTCTCTGTCTCTCTCTAACACATTTAGTTCTTAAGGAAAGTGCCAATAATATAATTTTTCCGAATAAGTGCAATACGTCATTGGTTTTGAGACATCAGTAGAAGCCTAAAAAATCTAAAATAAAAAATAAGGGTCCGTATTTAAAAAAATAAAGTTGATGATGGTGGCCTGGAAACGAAACGTCAGATTTCAAATTTGATAGTGTCATCTTAAGGATTTTTCAGCGACTAACCGTTTGTTACCGTGTTATAAACGGTAACTGAAAGTACATCATATTTTCAATTACCGTTTATAACAAGGTTATAAATGGTTAGTCGCTAAAAAATCCTCCTTGTCGAGGAGAAAAAGTGGCAATGATGAAGTGCCATTCATTTTGAAATATCTCTTTAAATAAGGTCAGGAAAAAATAAAATCATTTTGGGTGAATTTCAGTTTTTTCCGGATATCTCCGGTAGCACTCGGAATTTTTAAAATATCAATGCGTCATTTTAATGAGCGCAAAATTGCGCAACTTTTTACTAATTTAAACGACCTCGTATCTCTTACCGTTTTCCAGATCCCCATACTGGCCCTCCTTATCTTGGACTGTATACCAAAAAAAAAAAAAATGATCTACAACGTTAAATAAGTTTTTTACAGGCACTTCAAAACTGGCCAAATTCCAAATGATTAAAACGCGCCAAGTGATGATGTTACCGTTAGTAAAAGCACGTAAAGGTTCGAATGCGCTGTTGTCGGTTGTGACTAAATGTCTCTCTAACTGTAAAGTTGAATTTGCCCCGTGAGATGGTAACTATGTCGTAATCATATCCGAGGGCAGGGCACCGTGTTCTCCGTCCGTGAGCACCTTAAGCAGACCGTCGGCCTCTAGATTCCACAGGAGCGGGAATAATACCCTACCCTGTGGGCATCCCCTGTACACTCGGGCCGCCAGTCTCTCCTCTGCAACGATGGTTTCTGCTTTCTACTATTCTTTCTCTTATCATGAAGTTGTTCCACACACAGCAGGTGTCCTCAACTCCTTTATTTTTGAGAGATCCGGTTATTGAGTCAAAGGAGGTGTTGTCAAAAACTCCCTCCATGTCCAAAAAGGAGCCCAGTATCACCTGCTTGTTTTCCAATGCGGTCTCCACCAGCTCTGGTGAAGCACTATTTCTGTTGACATCCCTGTTCAATATGCAAACTGGGTGTGGGTGTATAGTGGTCGGCTTGCCAACACACCGTCCCTATAATGTGCCTATCCACAAGGTTTTTCCAGTGTCTAAAGCTCAAATGACGTAAGACTAATGGGTCTTAGGGACAAATTCTTCATTTAAGTGATTCGATAACAATGATAAAAATTACTAATGTCAAATAAAAAAAAGTTCCATAGGTACCGACATGACATATAGAACATAAAATTTACTAACAAAATATTTACGGACGCACTTCTAGATTTTACAACTAGAATATATTAGTAAGACAGTGAGAGAAAATGAGATTTGGGGAAATTGTAAAGTGTTGTTAGACTATGCTACAAGATACAACCAAACTATAGGAAGTGGTGGAAATAATATTGATACTGAAACCAGATAAACCCCAACACGATTATTTCGCATCATAGACTTACCCAACATGTCCGAACTGGAGCAAAAATTATCTCTGAAAAAAATTCAATCAGAATTTTTTTTTAGCAATTATCAATTCCTAATTGACAATTTTGTTCTGGCATTTGATTGCAAGCTTATTATAATCTTTGACCTTGTTTGACAATTTTTAGGCGTGGTTCCAAAAACCCCTCCGTTTAGTTGCACGAACAAATATTATTCTCAAATTATTAATATAGATTTCGAAAAAGATGGAAAAGTATTAGAGTTACATTAATGAGATTAATTTCCCTATTTATTGCCAAATGTATCGGTATATGACTAAGCAAAGTCACAAGTTACCTTCTGCTTAGTTTTCTGTAGAGGATGAGCAGCCATTGCTGTTTTCCATTTACATCTATATTTCAGCCAAATAATTAAATAAAATTCATTCTATTGTAACAAACAGTTTTATTTGGTTTAAATTCAATACAAGTAGATAAATAAAAGTCAGATTAATATTGCACATGACTGAAAAACACCTTACATCAAATATAGATGTAAAAGAAATAACATCTTCAGGGAAACATAATTTTACCAGTTAGACAAATAAAATATACAGTACAGCTAACGTTAAACGGCATTGTACAACAATTTATTTGTGAGTATACTATTTACATGTACAGCTAATAATTATATTTTCGTCCGTTTCATAAAAGCAAAGTTAAAACACAAAAAATGAAATCGATACACTTTTGCAATATGTATTATAATAGTGCCAATGTGTATTTACTAATTAAAAACAACATAGGTAGGTATTCTTAATATATCTATCAATAAAAAGCTTTATAAGTGATAAGGATATTAAAATTGAAAAAAAAAACTTATATAAAAAGTAGTCAAACATCTACAATGGCTTAATTTCATTAAATTCAATTAAAATAGTGCCGAATATTACACCATTTCGAAGACAATATTTGGGTTTGTAATAATTATACAACAATCTGAAATCAATATAAAACATAGATTATATATAATGCACTTTTATTGTAGATATTCCACATACCAAAAATAAAAGGAGCACTGGAAGCCATCTGCAAAGGTCACTGGGAATGGGTAATTTTTAAAAAGTGTTAAAACAAACCATCTATTTCCTAATAATGTAATCGTAAAATAAAAGATGACAAATAGAAATTACAGCATATCTCTGTAAAATTAGAAAGTTTTCGTTTTACTGCACATAATAGTCATTGGATAAGTACATACTTGGTGTCACTTTATTTATTCACAATATATATGACTGATTTGCTTTTAGATATAAATAAAAAAAATATTTCAAAAACATACCGAAAAAAAAAACCCTTAAAATGTAGGTATAACCGAAAGAACGACATAATAGTAAAAAAAAAACAGTAATTTGTGTAGTTAGTGCAATATGCTTTTTGCAAATGTTGCATACAAAATTTTAAAAAACATAAAAAAAAAATTAAATTTCATGAATGACAAATGTCATGACCCGCATTTTTGTAAACAATATTCTAGCCTTAAATGATTGTAGAAAAAAAATAATTATAAACCAATCATAATGTAGGTATTGCAATATAATTTAATTATGTCTGTGTTTGTAGCTGCTTTATTATTATTTTTTTTATAATGCCGTGATTTCAATTTGGATTAATCATTTCTTTTAAATGGGTAAAAGAAGGCACAAAGAGTCAGCAAAAAATTGCTGCAGCATAAAGTGTTAGTAAATGGCAAAATACCCTGTGAGTGTCGAAAAAGACAATAAAATATACCGCAGAGGCATTTAAGAAATAATGATACGTCGACATATTTTATCTTAAAATGTATTCAAAATACATCGGATACGTACGTACTGTCGAGGCACTGTGAGTAAGGCAATCCTACAAATAATTCAGTGGAGAGGGTCGTTCGCGCAGGTACATACTGTGCATCCCCTTAGCGCCAAAATAGGCCCTCATGGCAGCACCGACCGTGTTTACTATTTGATAAATCGAATTCGACTGGAAGTTAATAATTTAAATAACATTAAATAATAATTAAAGTTTGAAACATTTTCATCTCAAAATTATGTACTAGCTATACCTATGATATTGTTAGCCGATATTGGTGAGGTGCAACCATAAAGACCTAATTCCAAAATAGGCGCGACATAAATATCTTTTATTTTGTTTATAAACTATGTGCAAGTTAGGTGCACATATAAGTAGATAAAATATATATATTTTATATGGTACAATTTCTAATTAATTATATAATTTCTATTTTTCTCTAAGGTGTCATTGCAGAATAGACGGTTCAATCGATCTAATCTGGAATCACAAACGAATCGGCTATAAACAATGGTTCCTTAGAAAGCAGTACTTTTATATACGAAACATCAAACGGGACTTTTTGTTTTATCAGAACCTGGTCCCAGAACTATAACAGCCAGTGGACAGAGTACAATCGTAGGATAAGGGAGAGCACCAATCATTTTACATTTTCCGGGGGTGGGTGCACCAGGACATAAACCCCATTTAAATTTATATCTACTTTCTAGAATTCACAAAAGTCATTTAGGTTACTAATTATATTATACAGGGTGGGCCAGAGCTATCAGATAACTACATTTACAAAGGTCCAGAGACCAGCATAAAAGGAGCCCGCTTATGCGAAGTACTGGATCTCTATTCTCCACCTAATTATTGGCTTATGGTTGGTCTCTAGACATAAGTCTCTGACGGCTCTTTGGATTTTCTATGTAAATCATTTTAGATGGATATGTGAAAAAAAAAAAAAATGGTCAACTAAATGAATTGCAAAATGTTGCTTTAGTGAAATTAGAGTATTGGATTCTATTTATTGAAAGATTTTTTTGACATCCTATATATTTTTTTATATTTTCAGCACCCAGTTTATATACAAATATTTTTTTTCACAAACTTCAGTAACATTTTAATTTTCAACGCATGTTGTCAGTGGCTAAAATGCCATTTCATGACATGAAAAGTGATATACTTTTAGCACTTGTGTTTTAAAAGTAATTAATAAAAATTCTTGAATGATCAATATCAAGATGAGGATATTATAGCTTTGTGCCAGCTAATGTATAATACAATAGATAAAAAAGACAAATGCGTAACAGTGATTTTGAGATATATTCAATATAATCCTAAATATAATACTCACATATACGTGTTTGGTAATAAATTAGGAAATTGCATATTATAAAAACATTTTGAATTAGTTAACATTTGTGATGCTTTTTTCATCGAATAACAATATAACAAAATATAGTTATTTATTAGCTCTCATATAGATAATGCACCTTCCCGTTATTTCTTTTTGTGTATATAGATATATTAATTTATACTTATCAGGCAACAACAATAATTGTAACAATTATTATAAAATTTATTTTGTAAAATTTAAAATTTAACTCAAAAATTGTCCTGGTGACCAAGCTTTACCAACAATGATTAGGATTAAAAGAACATCAATATAATTATTATTTTTGTATAGGGGGTAGGGAAGTAGAAAGCGCCCTTCCTTTACATTCTTGGCATAGTTAGTGGACAAAACCGCTAATAACAAGTGTACATCTTTAAACAATAATCAACTTATCTAACACATTTATAAAAAAACACTAATAATTATTACAAGACAGTAAAATGGCACTTTCTTGCAAGCCCACCTTGCTTGTTTTTGATAAAATGTTATTATATTACATGCTAAACTCAAACCGATTGACTAGCCGATAAGAAATTAATATTATTTTTGTGATATTTTGTGATGCAAATTTTTATAGGTTTCCTTAGACCTTGATGACCAAACTGAGAGATTCGTCACTTAATTTCTTTCGTTCATGGTAGAGTAAAAATCAAACGAGAAGAAGCCACTGTCATCAGCGCTGACAAAGAAAGCAGATTTCCTTTTCTCTGCGTCCCTACCATTTAAAGTGAGACAAACGATAACCCGTGTGGCTTCTTCTCGTTTGATTTCTACTCTACCGCTTATGCAATCTAGCTAGACTTTGTCTTTTGTGAGCGTACCAATATAAAAAAAAATTAAAGTAATCTATCTGGGAGTGATTTTAAATCCGATTTTATGGTGATATCCTTAGAGCAGGTAAAGCGCTGTCCTACGGACATAAGGAGTCGGAACGCGCCATTCTGCTTATGAAACTTAAGTGAAGCCAAGTTTTTGGCAGGTGTTTGGCACCAAAATACAGGTAAAGCATTGAATTGCCTATACCGCCATTTTTTTGGTGAAAAAATACCTGGAAAAAAACGGCTTCATTTTCCAACTCCATGTTACTACTCCTTTACCTTTACCTGCTCTAAGGTGATATCAAAGCTAAATAAGTTATTACAGTAAATACATATGCACTATTGGTATAATTTCGTGATCATAACTCTTATCGTGTACTGACTGAGTTTATGTAATATAATAATGATATCATGTCAATAAAAATAGACGTGATCAGAAATATTACAATAAGTAGGTACAAATTATAACTATACAATGGTATTGTATATGAAGATATGCTTTCGGCACCCAGACGCTATCGTCTAACCGCGACTGCGTATCATCACAATAACCCATTAAAAATAAAATCTCTATACTTTCTAGTTTTTTCACTTTCTCTCCATTTTTCCTAGCATCCTTTTTCTTTCTCTCCCATTACCAAACATACCTTTATTTTTTCAAAATAATTATTCACTTTGTTATGACTAAAATGTAAAATTTCCAGTTCATTTTTTTTTAAATAATGATTAAAGACTCGAAGGTTATCACATGGGATGACAAAATTGGCAATTGATGTATTAGTCTGGGTAAAGATTTGTTCAATGTAGCAATTACATTTATAGTATAAAATATTTTTTTCTGTCCTATCTTATATACAAAAATCAATGTGCACCTATTCAATTTTAAGCAAAAAAAGTCTTAAATCTTTCAAATTGTGTGGTTGAGTTCCCCAAAATTTGCGTAAAAAAAAATTAACTGTCTCGAGCCCGCTAAAATTTGAAAAAAAAATATCTATATTCTGCACAATATGGAAAATTTAAAATTTAATAGGTGCTTCAGCCTATGAAAACAAAACATCTTGCGCCAATGCTCAAATCCTAACACAAACTTTTCGGTCATTTAAAATTAGTAGATCGCATGTAAGCAGTCCACTTCCACATGTTATCACTATGGCACTAGGTGGTACCGCGCGGGTACCACATGGCCTATGACGGCCAATCAGAAAGCCGGGGCCTCTTGTGCAATTGCAGGGCGCCCGTATCATAATCGGATTGCGAAGACGGTCCTGGAGGCGGCGTCGGAGACGGCAGATTCGTCGGAGTGACGCTACCAGGTGACGGCGTCACGTGACCAGCGGAACTCGGCCTCGGATGGTGGCCGCTGTGCGTCAAGTTTAAGGTTTGAACGTGCGCTTGTGAGTGATGGACGGCCGTGCTGAAATCGATTTTTGGACTTTAATAAACTACCTAAGTACTGGAGCCGATTCCGGCCTCAAAGAACCCATATAGAAGGATGATAAACGATTATGATTGGTTGGAAATGGATTTTGATGAGATAGAATACGAACAAGATTGAGCCAGGGACATTGCGTTCACCCAAAACGAGCATGTGACCCAGGTCTGTCCCTGCCCATAACATTGGGATGATTTATAAATGACTTAGGATGAGTTTCACCTGAATAAAGGTATAATTCTATAGAACCAAAGATTAGGTTCGAAACCCAAACATTGAACTTACAAAATTGTGTTATTTAGTGCGCTTCCAGCACAAAAGCAGAAATTTATTTTTACTGTTTATAGGTTTACAGGGGTGGTTTAACATAATCTGCCTTAAAAGAAAAGTCAAGTTGAATGGACACTGATGAGCGCATAAAAGAGAAGCAGAATCCCAAATACGAAACCCTGGTCCGATATTTTTGGGCTATTCAATGAGCTTTCTAAATCCGTTAAAATTGTAAAAAAATAAAGCAAAACTCAAGAACAAAATATTGGAGACCAGGGGTACACTTTTATTGCCGCCTAATACCACATATCTATTCAAATCCCCTGCCATGGTACGCTCGGCTAGCCATACCGTCTGTAGTCACCAGAATTAATTAACATCAAGTTGGAAGCAAACTGGCAAAGAAGCTGCTGCCTTGTAGCTGGATGTTGAATCATCAAGGGCTAGAGGAAGACAACCTTGATCACAAATTACCTGGGCTCCTGGTAGGGGGTTGAGGCATCGGGCTAACTCCCCGTTACTCGCAAAAAAATCTAGACTGTTAAAAGACCCAATCAACAGCCTCGGAACAGGACCAAAAAACGGAGACGAACTAGGCAACGGAAACGGACAATGAGTATCGGTACATGGAACATCCAAGGAATTTCTAGAAAAATAAATGAAGTGTTATCAGAGATAAAATATCAAAAATGGACCTGCTTGTCGCCACAGAGACCAAAAAAAGAGGACAGGGCTCAGAAAATCTGGGAGAGAAAAGAACGATGATTTCTTCAGCGGGGTGAAAAAATAATTCAGAGCGAAGAAAGGAGTTTCGATCTTCTTACACAGAAAATGGAGAAAACATATAACATCATGGGAAGCCGTAAACGAAACAATAATGAAACCAAATGTATGTATGTTCGGAAGGAAAATAACAATCTTGGGAATATATGGAGTGAACGACGATGAACCCGTTAATATAAAGGATCCATTTTATCAACAACTCAGTGACCAAATCATAAAAGTAGGAACTTTAAGGGAAATAATATTGCTGGGAGACTTTAACGGACGAACAGGAAGAAAAATCAACGACAAGGTAGTCGGAAAATTTGGAGAGAATGTAACGAATAACAATGGAGAAAGGCTCATAGCAATATGCCAACAAAATAAGCTAAAAATCCTAAACGGTTACTTTCAGCATAAAGAAATACATAAGTACACATGGAAAAATGCAACTAGACAACAAAAATCAATTATTGACTACACTATCACAAAATAACAGAGCTCGAACATAAAATTTCAGGATGTGAGAGCATATAGGGGAGCGACCTGTGGTAGCGATCATTGAAAACAAAAATCTTTATCCCGGGAGAAACACCGCAAAAGAAAACGGAAATAAAAAACAAGAAGATAATATTGTGCCTGAGAAATACAACCTAAAATCTCTAGAAGAGCAAAGCGTAAAAGGGTTGTACATGAAGAGATTGGATCAAAAATTACAGAGTATTATGAACTTCCAAAACCTTGAAATGCATTATCACCATATCAAAGAGAGTATTCACAGTGCAGCATTTGAAGCCCCAGGCAAATACGAAAAAAATGGAAGAAGGTCCTCACCTTATTGGTGGGATCAAGAAATAGAAAAAGACATAGCAGATAGAAGGAAGAAATACCAACAGTATCTCAGTTCAAATAAGACACGAGATAAAGAAATATATAAAGAAGCACAAGCAAGAGTACGGAATACAATAGTACAGAAAAAAAAAACGAGTCATGGGAAAGAAACTGTGCGCATATTAATACTTATCTAGGAGAGGTAAAAGAAACACAGAAAGTTGGAGATTAATAAAAAATATGAGAAAAACAAAAACCAAGTATATTATCAATACAATAACACCCCAGCAATGGGAAGAGTACTTTGAAGAATTACTGACAGAACAGCGGGCAAATTTTAAAGAAGAAAAGGAACAGACACGAAACATAAAAACTGCAGGATCACCAATAAGAGTTATGCAAGAAGAAGTTAAAAAACACTGTAGCTTCTTGAAAAACGGTAGGGCACCAGGCCCAGGAGAAATATATGGAGAACTGATAAGGTCTGGGACCAATAAACTCTACAAACATTTAACAAAACTATTTCAAACATGCATAGATAAACATGAAGTACCGAAAGAGTGGAAAATAAGCTATTTAACAACGATATATAAGAAAGGAGATAGAAACAAATGCTAGAATCACCGAGGAATTGCAGTAACAAATACGCTGAGTACAGTATATGGAAAACTCATAAAAGCGAGAATAGAGAACGAGTACAAAGATAATGAGGCAGAAGAACAGGCCGGTTTTAGAGCAGGAAGATCAACTGTAGACCATTTATTTAGTTTGACCCAGATAATAGAAAAGAAACTAGCGTATAACCAAGAACTCCATTTACTCTTTGTAGATCTAAAGAAAGCATAATGACAATGTTCCGTTGAAAAAGCTTTGGGAAGCACTGGAAAAGACCAATATCAACTTAGAACTAATAAAGGCAGTAAAAAGGCTCTATGGTGATGCAAAGACCAAGATTAAATAGGGAAACATAATCAGTAAAGGATTTATAGCAACTAAAGGACTTAAACAGGAATGCTGCATATCAACGACACTTTTTAATATATACTCAGAACAAGCGCTTAAGGAATGGAAAAGAAAAACAAATGCAGACACATGGGAATACCGCTCAATGAATACAATCTATATACTTTAAGCTTTGCAGATGATCAAGTATTAATTGCACAGGACTATGATGACCTAGAGTACATGACACCAAAACTGATAGAGGAATACGAGAAATGGAGTTTGGAAGTAAATCTAACTAAAACAGAATATATGACTATTGGAGGTGAACAACGAAATCTGAAATTGAATAACGGACAAGAAATAAAACAATGTACTGAATACAAATATTTGGGCATGAAAATCTCACAAGAGGGAACCATAGACGAAGCAATTCGTAAATCGGAATATACAAGGACGCAAGGCAATATTCCTACTAAATGGTGTACTGTGGGACCAAAATATCAACAAACAATACTAACAAAACTAGAATATACAACACCATAGTCAAAAGCATAGTCACATATAGTTCAGAAGTCTGGCCATTAAAGAACAGAACCGCAAAAATGTTGGAAGCAACTGAAATGGACTTTTGGAGGAGATCGACAGGCAGGTCAAAAATGGAAAGGATAACAAATCTGAGAGTTAGGGAGATTATGGACGTAAAACACACAATAGTAGATTATATAAAGGACAAACAGCTGATTTGGTTCGGACATGTACAAAAAATGGCAGATACAAGAATACCCAAGCAGATTATTGAGAAGAAGATGCGGCAGACCAAGAAGAAGCTGGAGAAGTGGAGTGGACGAAGAAATGAGAGACAGAGGCTTGGAGGAGGATGCCTGGATTGACAGAGATGGTTGGAGATCGGGAATCGGAAGACGTAGAAAGTTATAAACCGATAATTATATACATAATAAAGTTTTTGGATTATTTTCCAGCGAATTTAAAAAATATTCAGATCAAAAATGTTCCAAAAATGACCCTAGTATACGTAAAATGATCTGATGCTGATGCCAAAAAAATAAAGAAAAAGAATACCGGGTGTCCCAATTGAAAAATTTATGGGTTTGGCTCGGAGGTGACTCCTAACGCAATTTGGTTTCAAAAAACTGAAAAAGTTGTCTCAATTAAACCTCTCCATATTTCAAACATATCCAGCACACGAAAATTTCTTGAAAAGCTCAATTATTTTATTAAACTGACTGCTATAGTCAATTTATTAACCAAAAGTAGAGTTTCGTTTATCGATATTTTCATTTTCGATACCTACGATATTTGATATTTTGTATTAATTTGACTGTTGATGGGAATCATGGGAAAATTTTGAAACTTTTAGAAAGAAAAGGAGCTCATCATATTGAAATTTCAAATTTATTCGATGAAAAATGGCAACATGAGTCATAAGAAATAGGAAAATCTTGAAAAGCAATTTGAAAAAACCAAATTGAAAAATACACCCTTTCACGTTTTGATGATTTTTCGAAAAACTGTTGATGGAAAAATAATAATAGGTGCTACAATTCCTAAAAATTTTGCTTCAATATTTTGCGGGGATTTCAAAAAATTGAAGTTTGAAAATTTTGGAACAAAAATCCAAAGGAACCCTTGAAAAATCAGTCAAAAACTCGAAATTTTTATTTTTTATTTTTCATCAAATGTACATGAAGACAATTGAAATTGAGATCAAATGTGAAATTCCCTAATTAATTTAAGATGAGAATGATTCTAGAATCCAGAGCCACCAAAGACACTGTTACTGTCAGTGACTCATATCCTACCACACAGCATGTGACTTAAAAGTTTTTTGAAGCATTAGTATTAGCACAGTACATTTTTTTAAGTAGTAGTATTAGCATGCTACGAACTTTTCTGATATAGCGTTGCGTGGCATGACTCACTGACAATAATTTCGTTTCTGTGTCTCTTGCGATACAAAAAATATTCTTCTCTTACCTAGAAAGATGAGAGTGATGATCTCTAGGTGGAGAAATCGGTTCACTTTTAATTTTAACAGGCAGTGGTGAGCCCGACGTCGGTGGAGGTGTGCTACTGGATACCGCTAAGTGGGGCAAACATCCGCTACTGGAACCACCTCCGCTATGTGCCAGAGATGGTACCATTTGATGGCCGCTCCAAGCCATCGACGTCAAAGTCATATCGGAGCCGATGCTAAAGTCCTGGGCCCCGAATGAACTTAATCCTCCTGAATAACCTAGTCCAGGTGTCTGCAAGGCCACTACTGGCGTGTTTAAGGACGATTGTGTTCGATTATGCTAAGAGAAAACAATTTAAATTATTAGGTATAAAATTTCAAGTTTCAACTTACCTCTGCATATGAAACTTCGTCAGTGGTAATATTGGATCCTAATGGTGTCGGTATAACGACTCGTAAATTAGATCGGGGTCCTGGAGAGTGCTGTTTGGTATGCTTAGATGAACTTATTCCAGGACCAGGACTGGGACCAGGCGACGGTGAACCACCAATAGGGGATGCTGAATTTGGGTAACTGAAATATACATAACTTTAATTTTTTGAGATAATTTTATTATAACTATGATGGAGGCTTACCCATTACTCATTTCCAGCATCCCACCACTTGGATAAACCGAATCTGTTTCAGAAGACGATGGCCTAGGACTAATGCTAGTGTGGGCCATTTGTGGACTAGACTGAAGAAGACCAGAATCACTATAACTTATGTTCACTGGAACCGATACTGGCTGCGAGTAATTTGAAGAACCCATATTCACCTAAAATGAAAAAATAGTCATAAGTCATAAAACCATTACATCGAATTTTGTGTTAAAAAAATTAGATACTTAAATAAAAAAAATAAAAACAATACTAACAGGACTAACCCTTTGCCCATTAATAGACTGGTTTCTTTGTAACATCATTTGAAAATCCTCGTCGATTTTGCTGTATTTAGCCTCGGTTCTGGGTGTTAGTTGGTACTCGTTCTCCGGTTCTGGACTTTCGGGACTCATCACTCCGTTCTTATGCTCCTTCTTATTAAGTGCCTGCAAGTGTCAGTGGACCAGCTCATGGAGTAATACTCTCGCGTATACACGCGTAAATAAAGAAATACCACAAAAAAACTTTATATTTCTAGTAAGTTAATAAATGGCAAAATTAATAGTTTTTAGAAATATAAAACATGTTTGTGATAAAAATATCTAACACTACAAGTACTAATTTTAAGATTTAAAGCAACAACTTGTTGTTAATAATATCAGGCAATTGCATAAATATTTTTGGTAATATATTTCACTAATTAAACTTGATACGATTGAACAATATTCATAAACAAATGTAGCAGTTGCAATTTATTGAAAATGTATAAACGGCTTCAAATATTACATGGCAATGAAATTAAATCATGAAACATTATTTAACAATTTCCGGATACTAGAGCCTGTATGAATGGTAAATTGAAAATCACATAAAATCGAGTATAGGTATCTGGTTTGCACAAATTGGATTGCCATTTATATTTCAATCTATTTAAATTGCACCGATAGATTCACTCAATTTAGGCGTGACATGACTAATCAACATGGTGTGGTTTGATATGAGCGTTAATTTGTTTTGTTATTAATTTGTGATTTCTAGACAATCTACAAAAGTGCCTGTTTTTTTTATAATAATTTTGCATCTGCCGGAATATTATTTTGCAAGTTGCTGCTGGTTTTGATGTACCTCGATGATGTTTTTGTTGGTCAGCGACTCGTGCGGCTCATTATATTCTGTGTATTTGAGCAGCACTTTGTCCATATCCGTACTTGCATATTGATACAATTTGTTGCTGCTGCTGAAGATGATCAATGCAATTTCGCAGTCACAGAGTACAGATAATTCGTAAGCTTTCTTCATGACTCCGAATTTTCGTTTGTTGAAAGTTACCTATAAGGAAATTAGAGAAATGTTTAACTTTTTAAAACATACACATGTCATTTTATTTTAAATTAGAGCCCAAAAGAATGTAAAAAAATATAGCTAGCCTATACCCTATACTAGAGGTGAGGCAGCACGGCATAGCGACTAAGGCGTTCCTTTATTTCTACTTAACTTATACTAGCCTTTGTTCGAAAATAATATTTTCTCATAAAAAGAATTGAATTTATGGTAATTTTTGACCTACCTGCCTGTTTCGTTCATCTGTAATTCTGGATATTTGTATTTTTTTACGACCCATGGCAGCAATTTTGGAAAAATTGAAATATAACCCGTCGTGGAGAAATTATATGCGAGTCCAGCGACTCCCTTGTGTATTAATTCCGGTTTAGATCCTTTGTATGAAAATCTGAAAAAAATAAAAAACAGAGTTGATTTTACGAAAATTGTGTAGAGCTATTAGCTTAAAAAGCTAACATTCCAGTCAGGTTCATGAAAATTGAAATTTTGCAACCACTTTCAAGGATGAGTTGATTCACGAAAACATTTGAAATTTTGTTTTCGAGTTTAAATTTGATATTGGATTGGATAGCTGAACTCCCGGGGAAACTACACATAATCAGCTTAATGGAGTTCATCAGAGATTCCATTTCGCTTAAACTTTATATATGCAAAAACATGACCGGCGACACTCGATAATACACGTTCCCAATTGCAGGAAATTAAGTTTGAGCTACAATATAGCAATTCGTACTATAATTTCAGTATTCAGTCTGCTTGATTGCAGTAATAACCAAAATTTGCTTATTTTGAGATGCACCAGCAATCAGCAATCATAGTACATTCATTAGTTCATTGTCAAGGCGAGGGTTTGAAATTAAGGAAATAACATTGAAAAAAATCATATAGAAAAAAAGAGGTTCGTACAGATTTCATGTATACAAATGGGGGATGGGTATAATGAGGATGTAGGAAGGGACGGAGGGGGACATAGAAAATTGATAAGAAAAGAGGCCACCTGCAAACACACTGACCTGATTTAAAGGGCGGCGCGGCGGGTTAGTTGGGTGGCAATCGATCGCTGAGGGCAAGGCCGGCCGCGTGCCCTCCTACGCAAGGGCACTGCGCTGCCGCCAAGCACTGTTGCCAACCTTAATTGCTTTTTCGATGCCCTTTGCCAGCGTCGTACTTTTGCGGCCCAACACTTCAACTACATCGACCTCACCCCTCCAACAAGAAGGACAACGATTCTATAGACTACGCCAATGGATGTAGGCGACAAGTCTATATATTTGTCTTTTACTTATCCCAATTAAGCAATTTGTTTTGGTTACCTGTCTTATAAAAGTCAGGAAAAAAATAATTAGAAAAATAGACTTGTGAACCGAGTTCGATTGTCAAATAATGTAAAATTTTAAAAACTTTCACAGACACAGGGCTAAAAAGTGTGAAAAGACGTGAAATCTTTAGGAAAAAACACAACACTCGAAGAAGATATATTTTTGGGTTGATGTGAGACTTCTAAAAAAAAAACATTTTTTTTATCATCAGATAAAAGGTGATACTTGACACTTGGGTTATAAAAACTTCAGAAAATAATCACTCAAAAGAAAGTTATTATAAGGAAAAATTGTAATTGACATGTAAAAACGTAATCCACTAATGGTAGAGGGCGATATCCTTATTACAAACTATACTTTTTATTTATTTATGTACCTAGTCAAGCAATTCTCAAAAGATGTAGGTATTCAACATAAATGAATATTTTATTCAAGTAAATACTATTTCCTCTCCGAAACACACATGCGGTTCCCATAGGAATTAAAATCCTGCCACGCACATGGTGCTGATGGCGATGGTATATTTTCTACTCTTTTCTCGAGTGCCTAAAATTGAAGTGTCATCACTACCTTCATATGGTGCACATCTATGGCACAATTTTGTACATTTTCATTAGTTTTAAAAATCAGAATCAAAGACCATTGGAAAGTCAGAAAAATGTTGACCCTTTTTTTTTTTATTAGACACGTGTCACTACATTTTGATCAAGGAAAAATGCATGTTTTGTGTAGGTAATTTGAACTAATGATACAATTTCTGGAAGAAAAAATACTACATATAATTTTGGTAGGTAACCTTAAGAACGAAGTAGCCGGTTTTCCTTTCTGTTAAAAATATTGGGTTTCCACAGCATGACGCGAAGTAAACGAAAAAATGAAACATTTCGGATGAATATTTATATGTACCTATCTACTTTGAATTTTACTAAAAAGTTTTATTCATAAAGGTTTAATATGATTAAAGATTTAAACTGACTTATGTATAGGGTGGGCAAATAATTTGGACACTTTCAATAGTCAATTTTTGAGCGAGATAGAAAAAAAAATTTACCCACAACTCGAAGGCTCAAATTTTGTAAAAGACTCAATGGAACAAATCGCATTCTGATAGTTTACCCGTTTCAAGAAATATTGTCAAATCTTGAGAACTTTTTTGTTTCTGAAAAGAATTCTTTCCTGCCAAAACTTTCCAAAGACACTTTTTATACAGGGCGTGCGCAGGTTTTTCAGTTGGCCCCGATTTTGAGATATTGACCAAAGTTCAATTTTTTTTTTGTTATAGGACAATTTTTATGTATTTTGTATATGCATATTATATTATATACAGGGTGAGTCCGAAATAAGTGCGCATTTTGTTATAATAGAGTACAGTAGGAGAATAGGCATGTTCCTATCTCTACACCAACTGAACTACGCAAACTGCAGCAATACAAACAAAACTCAAAAATTCCATAAAATGCAAGTAAATGACTGATATAGACGGTTTGTATTCATTATTAGAGCAAAAAGTGCAGCACAATTGTAATTTGCACGGTTTGGCATATTGTTAGAAATGTCAAATGACATGTGTTCAATGTTTATGTCACATCTGGTTGTTGCCGTTGTTTCATTAATTTGATAGTCGTAGAAAAAGTCTAAGTCTAAGCCACGCGTGGAATTCAAAATTCTACACTTTATAGCCGTTGTCTTCGCCTTGGGCGTGGGAAACAATCCTCCCGCATAGAATTTTGCTTATTTCACACTTGCTATAGAATATACTATTCGCTCTGAAATAGATTTTTCCTATAAAAAGTGTCCAACTTCGCTCACCCAGTACCTACTCAGTTAAAAAAAGCTCTAGTTAGAATATGCTATGCGCTATGCCATTTCAGTAGTCATATGGACGGTAGCGCACCGTGTGTTTGCGTAAAAACAATTATATTAGACATGGAGGATCGATCGTAACGACGCAAAGACTATTTCGCATTCACTTCAACCTTGGACGCGGCGATGCCGTTCCGAGCCGGAATACCATTAACATGTGGGTCAACAATTTGATGACAACAGGATGTAATGCTTGGGATGGAGACGCCGGGTCGCGAGAGGACAGCAGTGACGCTGAAAACATCGACGGGGTACGGTAACTGTTGAATCGGGACCCTGATGCCAACTTTGCAAAAGGGTTTGCAGTTTAATCCATCATATAAGATGAGTATTTTTGGGTTCTCTTTCTGTCGCTACGATCGATCATCCATTACTGTCATACGCGAACATGGTGCATTACCGTCCAATGCTTCATGACTACTAAAATGGCATTGCCGCACATTAGTTTTGAAAACAAACCAACAAACCAAAACACTGGAAGAACATTTTATACCAGGTCTTTGTCAACAGATAAGGTACTAGAATTGGAATATGAGTTGAAAACCATCAAATGGAGTGGGTTCAAAAAAGACCGACAAAAGGGATAAAACCAAATGATACAATAAAAGCTGAAAAACATTCTCTAGTATACATACTGCTGGACACTTGAACTTACACATACAGATTTTTAGACAAAATTCAATTTTATCGCCCCTTATAGGTAACATAACCCTATGGTCCTATATGGGAAATTTACGGCAAGCTTTATCCAACAGGCTATTGAAATCCACAAACCGCGTTAAAAAAAACTTTATTCGTGTCGAAAATATGAAACTTTGAATTTTTTTCTAAAAATCTGTATATATGAAAGGTCGAGTGTCCAGCAGTTTATATGGAAACAAACATTAATGAAAGGTGTTGGCCTTCCGTGCATAGAAAACATTCAGGAGAATCAATAGATAAAAAAAGCAAAGACAACGGCAGATATTTCCTTGGGATAATTCAAGCATAGGTATGCACCAACAACTTAGAGGATGAGATTGAACATTTCCACGAAAACGATCACCAAGAACGTGATATATTTCATTACCAGCAAAAAAGATATAGGTAGTTAGCGACGTGGATATAATTTTTATCTATTATACCACTTAAATTTTGATGAAACAAACAAGAGAATTCACAGACGAGACTACCCAAGAACACAGAAATGTCAAATAAGAAAGAATAAGGGAAATAAGAATACAGAAGGCGCCAAAAACAATTATAACAATAGTCTGAAGATCTTCAGAAGAACACGCCATGAGAAAAAAGACATACGCAAGATTGTAACATAATGACAACAAACAAACGCAAAATTATAGTGACTATCGAAATATTCTACAGACAGCTATGTTCAATTATCAAGGAAACACAATTAGAAAACTTGGATATTGGTTGCTCAGGATATAGGAGAATGGCTAAGTTTGAGAGAGGCTTTTGTTCAGCAATTAACAGAATGCGCTGACAATGATGAAAAAATTTAATTTAGGTAATCAGTAATTTATACGATGATACACTACCTACTACTTTCTTGAAGCAGCTTGCCTAGCTCGGCTTTTGATCAATTTTTATGATAAGAATTGAGAGCCAAATAAATATATTTACCATACACAAAAACGCCATAACACATAATATTTTATATTTTTGTTACCTACATGGAACATAATAGACTAGAGTATGATACACGATTTCCCAACTTATATGCAAACACAAGCCATCGTTGCTCATATAAAAATCATTTATGTATTGCCTATTGAAATTTTCAAATTTATTACTTATTGAATACCTAAAAAACGCGGACTCTCGCCATCAGATGCATCTTATTTTGATAATGAACCTCTTCATTTTTTTTTTTACAATATGTACCTGTGTTTTTTATGTATAGCTCAACAATTTATTCCCAGAAATAAATTTAAAAAAACACAATGAAAATTGATAACCTAGTAAAAAACTAATAAATTTATCGCAAAAATATAATTATTTTATGTACTGACCTATTAGGCCAGTCATTGGGGATTTTTACCTGGCTGCTAAAAAAGGTTATTCTCAATTCTCGCCAAAATTATGCGTTTTTCAAAAAAAATATGTAGAAAACGAAATTAAAGAGGGGGAAATTTCATACAAAAAATGAACCTACTTAGCATAAAGTCGTCGTTAAGTCTAATGCGTAAGTTTTATCACCGAACGT